AAGACCATAATTTCAACTAAACAGCTATTATTGCCAAGTAAATTCTAAATATTTAATGTACAGTAGGTAAAACACAGTAAAAATAATCATGGCATGTCTTTAACACTAAATAAATTTTATATCGTTTTCATTTATTTGCACTGATATAACAAAACAAAAATGTTTAAAATGTGAACTGGAGACTACTGTAAAAAATTCTCACTGATGAGGCAAATCGAAAGCAAATTGAATTTTGAATTGATTAATTGAAATGGAAATGAAACTGATTCACAGAATTGAATCAAACTTATGAACACGTACACCAATTTGGCTACAGTTTAATTTGTTTTAATTTTAATTTGTCGTGCCATGGATGGATCCAATTAAAATGATTGGATCCAGCAAAATCATTGGATGTTTGAATATTTCCGAGCAGCATGTTTACAAGGAAGTACAAACAATCTCGAGCTCTAAACACATTAGCTCAGTGGCCAGTGACAATTCTCAGAAAATCACATTTCTCAGAATCCATACGACTGTAATTTCTGCTCTGTAATTCCCATGTGGAATGCTGTAACATGGTGGATACTTTATTTTCCTGATATCTGGAACAGAGAGATAGACCAAACTCATGTAAGATAAATCATGTAGAATTTCCATTCGGCAAAATGTTTGCTCTTTGTTCCCTCCTCTTGGTGGTAAATTGTCATATAGACTGTAACACACTACTGTACTAAATCTATTTAAATACCCAAATTGTTTCTATAAAAGTAGTAAAATTATGTGTAGAGGGAAATTTCTCTCCATATTCATTCAAAGAGCAAGATATCATGATCCATGATGAAAATAAATCCACTACCATTACCTCTGGTACATTATTACAACACATTCATGAGACTAAAATCGACACTATATTCAGATTTTCTTTTAATTGACAGATTAAATGTTTTAATCAACATTCTCAACTTAATAATCATTTATCCTGCTCTCTAAACATATTGCATGATGAGCCAGCAGAACTAGCTGGTATTTATTAACTAAATGGTGCTGTGCAAAGTGCTCAGAATTATAATTAATAACAAGCTACAATGTAATTTTATGTGATATGATTTAATAATAGCTCATGTGCTTATAAGATGTAAGTGTGAGTTAATAATGACTAGAGGTTTTCAAAAGGGGGTCCATGACACCTAGGGGGTCCGCATGGGTACTGCATGCCAATTATTGTTTCATTAAAAAAAAGAAGAAAAAGTGTATATCAAATACAAATATTAATTTCAGACAAAACTAAAGCACCTGGTGTCTCATTGGCCCTCTCACATTAAAATGCAAAATGTTAACATGTAATGTATACATTTATTTTAAAAAAAATGACATTCTACATACAGTAAATATGTTTTACCCTGATATTGCAGAAAGGTTTTGATGTGCGGTCCGTGCCATCTCACAGCCTTTTGTGCGTGTCTTGTGCATTTCCGCACGAAGAGAGGGACAATCAGCGGAAATCTCTCCAATAGAGATAACCAACTCCCTATAGAGGGCCACAAGTGTATTGAACTCCTGGACAACCTGATGGAAGAGAGAAAAACAAAAGTAAACAAACTGAGAAAATATAGGGCTCACAAATCCATTTTAACCTTGAAAATGTATGAAGCAGATAAATAAAATGACTAAACATTGACGCAATGACATGTATCCAACTTGTCAAGACTTTTTTATTTTGAACAGACAATGTCACAAAAACAGGCAATTGGTTGGAAAGTAGCACTTCAGGCGACAGATGCTCATGCCAATTTTATCAATGTTTGGTAGAAAGGATAAGCGTTCAATGGCAAGCAGTCTTAACATTTATGCCTTTAACTGTTTTTATGTAGCTAATACTTTTTTTTTTTAATAACTTGTAATCAGTGCTCTAAGTGAAAAAATTACATTCCTCAATCTCAGATGAAATCGCCCTCTGAGGTCAGGGCGGTCAGAGAAAACTTATTCAAATATGTATCTATTTAATTAGTAGCTAACTAACACTCATTCACTCACGACCAATTTCCCTTTAAGTTTAAGGCAAGTCATTTCACTCGGCAGCCATCTTTGAAATGCTTCTTGGGCAGCTATTTCAGTCATGCAAGTACAGCACCTAACTCTTTGAATGGGGAAACATCAAATTCTCCAAAGCTGTTCAACAAGCTTATGAGTAAATTTCATATTTGAAATCACCAGTGAAATCTGACACAAACTATGCCATAAATGTTGTTTCTTATGCTCAAATAGCATTAAAGGCTGGACAAAATTGATACACAAACTGATTAATCCAGGTGTGTCTGACATCAGTAATCACAACAACATCAGGCACACCTGAATTAATCAGGTTTGGCCAATAATTGCAGACAGGAAACAAGGAGCTGGCTGAAGTTCAGGAAGTAGTGCAGCTGTGCATAAATCCAATTGGGTTGGACTCTCATTCATAAGTAATATGAGTACACAGTTTTCTTTGTATATCTTTAAGTCTTTGCTCACTACTAATAAAAGTGACAAGTAGGCCTAACTTACATTGTTCTTGGAAACATTTTAGATATTTGCTCAGACGTCAATTGTCCATCAAGTAAGCCATGCTAGTAACTACAGGATAGTTAGTCAATTTAAAATAATGCCAGCACTTAATAAACAATTGGACAACTTGTTAGTCATAAGCGAACAGTTGATATGTGCACCACAGCATTCAATGTCAAAAATCCAAGGCAACTGCATGGTCGAATGTTTAGACGGCTTGCCACAAGCTTTCTGCCTGTTAACGGGGCAAAGACTCCTCAAACACAACAGACGAGCTTTACAAATGTGCTGCAGTTTTAGCCCAAAATAGAGTGTCGCTCACTCCATGCCATAATCTGTCAAATGAAACGTTGTTTCTGGAAAATCAGTAAGAAAAAGGAAGCTGGAACCAAGGCTGGAACTACCCCCGCACCATATGACAGTCAAACCTCAAAGCATTTTTTTTTCACGTCCCTATAGTGTCGCATTTTACATTTAGGATGTTGGTACTTCTGCAGAACACTGCGTGAATTTGAAATGGTGGATGAACAATCAGCAGGCATCATAGCGGAATAATGCTGTGGGTCATGACGCAGGCATACGCACCATTCTGCAGTCCGCTACGGCACGCTGAGCTTCGCTGCTCTCCCGGCGCTCCTGCTCTCTGGACGGGTTCTTACTGCCGATCTGGAAAATGGTCCCGGCAGTTCTGGGGCGGTTTTTGCGCCCATTCGGTGCAGAACTCATGCATACACATCAAGTGAAGAAACTGCCCTGATATAAAACGCTGATTGATCTATAAACTGCCACTGGTTTGGAAAAATGTCTTACTCAATTGATCGATCTGCCCGTGTCTTGCTCCTGGATTCTCTCCGCATCGCCACGATGCAGAAGCCGAGTCACCTTCATTCACTCCTGCAGAGAGCTGAAGTGTCCTTGCAGGGTTTCGTCTTCTTCAGCAGAGAGAAATGCGATAACAAAGAACCAGATGCAAACATGTCTTGATGTCCCGTATAGCTGTTCAACGAAGAAATACACCTCCCCGCGACAATACTCGCCACTTGAGATAGACTAATATGTGCCGCAAGTTGAAATGATACACTCTATATGGCGTTTATTGAGAGTAGGTAGCAGAAGGTGATCTAAGAGCGCTATTCTAACCTTGATAGGTGCAGTTGCTTGAGGCATGACGTGGTTGAACACACTGCACTCTCATAGGATGAGAATACTAATGCAACAGATTCACCAACTCACAAACTCAGATTCACCCATCTCAGATGAGCCTTATTAAACATTCATACAAGTAAAGTGTCTACTTACGGTTGGTTATTAGGAAATGTTCTATTAGTGGTTGAATCATAGGCTACTGTTAATTGTAATAAATCCTAATTGTGTAAAAAGCTTGAAGCCCACTTAGACCTAATGGCAGCCTGTTGTTGTGTTGTTCTTTGCCTAACCATTATAGAGAAACCACTGCATTTGAGATGTAATCTGTATGTATGCAGATAGTGAGAAAGAACAAGATAGCATGACAACAAGGACTGAATAAAGCTCCCAAATGATTATACCTTTTGCTTTCGACATTAATGTTTATTGCAGGAAAATAACCTTATTAAGTGCAGGAAAAGATTTACAATATTAAAGATTTCTCTACTGCTTCATTTTTAACGTTTTTAATTTAAGTAAATAGTGTAAAATTAATGTCATGTAAAAGTATTACTTGAATATAAAATCTATATCCTCAATATAAAATAATAATAACATCAATCATATTCCTCTTAAAGACTCTGGGCCAGGAGACAATAACAATGAATGCTAACAGCAAATTAAAGTACACTAACCTAAATGATTATTAGGAACACCATACTAATACCATGTTTGACCCCCCTTCGCCTTCAGAACTACCTTAATTATATGTGGCATTGATTCAACAAGTTATTGAAATACACCTCTGGTACACCAATTTGAAATTATTACACCAATTATTAATACACCAATTTGAAATTATTCAAGCTTTGTGACATGGTGCATTATCAGAGGAAGCAGCCGTCAGAGGATGGTTGCCATAAATGGATGGACATGTCAGAAACAATGCTCAGGTAGGCCGTGGCATTTAAATGATGCCCAATTGGGACTACAGGGCCTAAAGTGTGCCAAGAATACATCACCCACTCCATTACACCACCACCAGCAGCCTGCACAGTGGTAACAAGGCATGATGGATCAATGTTCTCATTCTGTTTATGCCAAATTCTCACTCTACTATCTGAATGTGATAATAACTCATTAGACCAGGCAACATTTTTTCCAGTCTTCACCAGTCCAATTTTGGTAAGCTCTTGCAAATTGTAACCTCTTTTTCCTATCTGTAGTGGAGGTGAGTGGTACCCAGTGGGGTCTTCTGCTGTTGTAGCCCACCCGCCTCAAGGTTGTGCATGCTGTGGCTTCACAAATGCTTTGCTGCATACCTTGGTTGTAACGAGGGGTTATTTCAGTCAAAGTTACTCTTCTATCCGCTTGAATCAGTCGGCCTATTCTCCTCTGTCCAAGATTGTCTTGACCAGGACCACAACCCAAAATGCATTGAAGTAACTGTCCTGCGATAAGTTGATTGGATAATTGCATTAATGAGAAATTGAACAGGTGTTCCTAATAATCATTTAGGTGAGTGTAGTTAGGTCAAATGCAAACTTAATGGAACAAGGCAAAAAAAAAAAAGTTGTTCTCGGATTGCAAAAGTCTGTTATTTGACATAGTGGTCGGATTACTTATCTAAGACAACACATTGAGCATTAGTTATTGAGATCACACAACTAACCATTATGGCCATTTGAGCATACTGTATCTGTGAAAACAAACAAGGGAGTTAAATTAAACAGATGTTATAATTCTTAGCATATTCTATGGATAGGTTAGAAGCTGACAGGCAGCTGACAGTTATGGATAGTTAAGTTCACAAACCTGAGCACTGCACTTTGTAAATTAGCTGTAAGAGAAGACCCTTCACAAACATATTCACACTAAATATAAAGCAAGTGAATACAACTTGAGGTGAAATGAAGAGTCCACTCGTGTGATTATCCTTGCAAAGCTGCACAAAGTTGGCCAAAATTCAAAGAGAGGCAAACAGCAAACAGATGTTAGGCAAAGCACAAACTCAAAAATAATGAATCATCTTTGTGGTAAACAGATCATCAAGCTTTGGAATTTTAGCTCTATCATTTCGCTCAGTAATCGGTTGGCGTTTCCTACACGTATAGTCCAGAAGCAGCTGCAGTTTGATTCCTTTTTTGCCGATCTCTCTATTGTCCTAAGAGTTCAGAAACACTGCAGACAGCTTCTTGCGCCTTCTCTTTAAAAAGAGAAGAAGAAAAAATAGCAGAAGAAGCAGAAAATAATGAAGCCAATGACCCAGTTGACGGAGTATATATAGATGATCACCATGTCCATGTCAAATCGCCAGCCATGCGAGTCATCCTCAAAGTTGAAGGAATCAAGCCTGTAGCCCCCATGAGGGAACTGGCGTCTGCCAATTGGACTTGCCTGCCTTTGAAAGCCTAAGAAAGACAGATATAGACAAAGAGTGGGAGAGAGGAAGAAAGACAAAGCACAATGACTATTACAATGAACATTACAACATTTGAATAACAACGGAATCTGCAGAGTTTATTTATGATGGAATTTGGTGAAATAGATGTAGTAATGGTTTTACCTCCGAAAATGCGAAACAGTTTACGACAGCTCGGAAGAGGCCATTTTGCACAGCTTGCTTTCTGGAAATTCTGCTTCCGAGACAGGTATTCCTTCGGGAAGAACGTACGAGCTGTATGGTTCAGTTCTGTGAAGAGTGGGGTGTGTGAATTTATTTATCTGAGAATCATTAATGCTGTCAATGCAATGTCCATTAAAGTGCATTACTTTCAGAAAGCCCACTCATTTTACATATCTATCTCATAAGGTGTCTCTCAGATCAGAAACTGTCTGCATCAATAAGAGCCTTTTCTGTTCAATCAAAAAGCCAACACAGGAATTTTCCTTACTTTTCATTGCACTACCTTGCAAAACTATAACAAACTACAGTAAATATCTAGTTTGCTTTTTTCTTTCTCAGCTCTTCCGTCCTTTTACACCAGTACTCTCAGGTCCTTTAATTCGCATCTCCATTGCTGAGTATTCACTGTCATGAACTTTTCCTCTCAGATCTCATCTTAAGATCTATTCTCACAGTACTTCTCCTCTTCTCACAATCTATGTCTTACAGAACTATTTGAGGGCCGACTCAGAGGCCTAATGCTCCATGGGTTCCCTTGGGAATTTATAATGGATTTGTGGTCTCTATGGCCTTTCTTATCTTTTTATGTACAGTAGAAACTTGTTAGCAACTTACGTTACATCTATCCTCTAAATGACCCATTATTGCAGAAAATCTCAACAACATCAACAATATATTAATATATTATTATAAAATAATATAAAATGTAAAATAATCAGAGGTGGACAAAGTACAGTTCTTTATTTGAAAGTTCAGATACTACTGGTCAAATATTACTCTGTTAAGTAAAAGTTTTAAAGACCGTTTTTTTACTTAAGTAGAGAAGTACTCGTTTTTAAAACTACTTAAAGGGACAATGTGTACTTTTTAATGTATTTTGTTATTTAAAATCTTGTATTCATAAATGTCCTCAATGGTGTACAAATACCTCTGCCAATTATCAGACTTATCTCGTAAACTAAGAAATTATTATCTTTTTATACATGGGACAGGTAGGTCCATGAGGCTTCCATGTAGTTCCGCCATCTTGAAAAACTATAATAGCAGAGAGGGACAAAAAGTACTACAAAAAGTACTTGCACAGATGTGTCCTCAGAGACTCCCGCTGCCATTCTTTCTCCAAAATATACCCTCAACTGTTGTTAAGGCAACACTCCGCGTGGGTTGTGTCTAAACACCCCACAGAAAAGAGGGGCGGAGTAAGCGAAGCTCATTATCATTTAAAGCTATATGCACTGAAACAGTGCTGAAAACAGAGCTGTTTTTGACCAGGTAAAAATAGTGTTTTCTTAGAATACTAATGAGATTTTTTTTAAAAAAATAAAGATATATTAGAAAGTTTTCATTTAGACCCTAAAGATTCTTATTGACTTGTACAAAAATGGCATTATATGACTGCTTTAAGGACAAAATCCTGACAAATGTTCTACATGATCTGAACAGTGTTTTGAGGTAACCATAGTATAGGCGGAACAATTGACCGGGCCATTGGATTATTGAAAAATAATGCATACACAATTATTCCTTGCATATTATATATTATTATTGACATTATAGGTCACATTTATAAAAAATATACCAGACATTTCAAGATCTCTTTTTTCCTGTAACAAACCTTTCTGGAAGAAAACATGTGTTATGGTGGTTCTGCACAATGGACAGGGTGTGTTGGTGGGGCAGTTCTTGGCCAGTGTCCGCAGACAAGGCTCACAGAAGACGTGGCTGCAGGGATGGCACATGTACGGACTGAAGTAGACATCCAGACACACTGCACAGATATAGCCTTCACGATCCCGGCTGGGCAGCTCCTCATCCTCACTGCTGCTAGATGGGTTCCCTGTAGAGCTCTTCAACAGAGAGGACATGACTCAGTGCTGATAAACTCAACAATCTAGTGAGCTTCACCTTTACTAGGGAACATTGCTTTTAGTGTTATGCTGATGGTTCGTATAAACAGTGTTTTAACTTGACCTTTAACACACTTGGTTGTTGGACTATAAAGCATATTTTGAATTGTGTTAGAGACAGGCTTTGAGCAGGGGTGGACTCCTCTGATGCACAGGGACTGTCAGCATAATTACAGCTCTCCCTCCAATTGGGACCTCCAGAGACCATGCTCCTTTTTCCCTAGTTGTGTCATTAACACCAAATACACATCTCATAAAAGTCTCCACATCCCACTTGACAATCCATGATTTCACATGGTAAACATATCACATGGAATTTTGTTGTTAATTTCTCCATTAGGTTTAGATGCTACCAAGGTCAAAACACTTTAATATTCTCACAATTTACATTGCAGAATCAACTGTTTTCTCACAGTATATGAAATGGTTCAATTCAATAAAGGATTATAACTTCTTTTTTTAAAAAAAAAATAATATCTTTTTTACTGAGAACCTGCTGTGGTCTGATTGGTCAGATGGCACAGTCTGGTGTGGTGTATTACATTCTGCATGTGTTGGAAACCAAATTTCTATTACCATATCTGAATTTCAGCTCTGGAGGCTCCCTCACCTGTACACACAGTGATAAAAATAGTAAAAATGCCGTTGGTTTTACCATATCAATTTGAGTCCACATTCTCATCACAACATCTTCTCGACATGTTAGCCTCAGCTACAACTACAATGTTTGAAGGTGTGTCAAAGTAAGATGTTCACAGGCAGCTATTGAACAGTGTTTATCGTCAAAAGTTTTTTTTTTTTTAAGCGAACTACTCCTTTAATGCTGGTGAATGGGTTTATTGTATAATGCAGAACTTGTTGATTGTTAAAAGGTGCCCTCTGCTGGAAAATTATACATTCTGTGTTAATGATCCGGGAGTGATCATTCAGCTTCATAATTGTGCTAGCACAAAAAAAAAGGAAGAAGAATTGAATAATATTTTTAAATATATGAATACATGTAAGGGATTATGTACCAGCCAGTAATTATTGCAAAATAAACCCTAAATTTGATAACAATATTTAAAGAAAAAGATGTCCAGCACAACAGAAGACAATCAGTCTTGCAACAAAACAAATACTGAAATAAAAATCACAAAATTCATATATAATTATTGTTATTATTATTATTTTTATCTGAAATCAGTTACTTGTTGTTCTGGGTGGTGTGTCCGTTGTATCATTGTGTTTCTGTTTTACCTGAAAACTCATTTCAAGATACTACGTCAAACGTTTAATATTTATCATAAAAGTAATACAGTACCTCCGATGCTGATATATTTTATCGAGCTCAGAGATAATACCTCCATTTGTCAGCCAAACTATTAAGTTATTAATATTAAGTTATTATTTTAGTATTTTAATACTTTCACAATTTGCATGTTAATGGTTCTGTATTGGTTAATGACCACATGACACGCAGATAAACAGATTAAATATTTCACTTTTACCCCATTTTATTATTTTAAAATTATTTCTTTATCTTTGACAGTTTTATGATTAAATCGATTAGCTTTTCATCAACTCACAAAAACTAATAATAAATTAATTCTTTATCTATATTTTTCTTTAACTAAACACTGTATTTATTTGTATGTGAATTAATCTTTTGGCACCAACTTTACAGAAACAAACTAGATTACTTCAAAGCATATCATCTTAAGTTAGTACTCAAGTACAATTGAGACAGAGACTTGCAGTAATTGCTTATCTTCTCACTTCTCTAGAATTGCAGCTCTTAAATCAAGAAAGCTAATATTCTGACAGAAAAGCATTGGTCTGTCACACATCAATCCCAGCTTGAGCTGCTCTTGAAAGAGAGGCTGCTATTACAACTCGTGTATGTGTGTTTATGCTTCACCTGCGCGTTCTCCTGCTGCTGGTTCTGTCTGCAGCGCTCTCTCCTCCTCTGTCTCCTCCTCAGGCTCTTCAGTCGTTTCCTCTCTCTCTTGCTCAGCCTGCGATCCCCAGTGGGAGTAGGTGTGAGCAGGGATGAAGTCACTCTGCCAGCCAGCTCTCCAACCTCCTGTTCCCCCTCAGAGCTGCTGAGAGACATCAGAGGAGCTCTGTGGTAGGAACTGCCTGTTCCCTGATCTTCGCGAGAGCCTCTAATAATATCCGATCTAACAGGATCAAGATCGGACCTCCTCGAAAGCATCATAGCCCTATTATAGGGAGGCTGAGCAGGAGGGCTTATCCTATGGCATGGGGAAGTGGAAGCCTGCTGGCTGGCTGTGGATCTCAGCACATGTCCAGTGAGGACAGCACAGTCTGGAAAGAGCAGATGAGAGAATCCTTGTGGGGAGTATCGCTCTCTGTAGTGAGCCTTTCGATGGGTGTCCATATAGTCCAGACTGAACGCCTTCCTGTGGGCAAGTCTGACTCCAAGTGTGGCCCTCTGCAGGGGCCTGACCTCTAAGCACAGGGCCTCAGCCGTACGCCCACAATCCTCTCCTCCATGTGAGCCCATCTCCGAGATCAGACAACTCACTGGCGAACCGAGTCCTCCCCCGCCACTGCACCCAACCCTGCAGCAGAACGGGAAACGTTTGAGTTCATTGTTGCAGAGGTGAGCAGGAACATACTGGCCCCCTGAGGCATTTTGCACTGTTGACAAAGGTAAAGCCCCCTAAATAGTGGCAGTTCAGCGACCCAATTGTCTCTAGGGGCCTGTAGAATTCAAACAGCCCACAATGCATGCATTGTTATAAGGGTGGTAAAATTAGGTGAAATAACTAGACCAACCTTTTTTAACAGACATGGTCAGCTCTTTTTCTATCTGAACAGCAGCATATATATGAGTAACGCTGACTGAAACGAAATATGTACTCATTTCACAGTTTGTGTGGTTTTCTTGGAGCTTTATTAATATAGTGATTAAGTTACAAGTGCAAGTAAACAATTTTTCTCACAAAATTATATCTATATATATATATATATATATATATATATATATGAAGAGTTCAGATGCAAAAGCCTCTAAATGCCATTTGAAATTTTCTTCTTTAAGGATGATTTTTATCAAACTTGTATATTTAAGTTCAGTGATTTCACTTAAATGGCAATGATAATTACCTATTAATTGTTATTTAAGTGAAATTACTGAACTTAAATATACAAGTTTGATAAAAATCATCATTAAAGAAGAAAATTTCAAATGGCATTTAGAGGCTTTTGCATCTGAACTCTTCATATATATATATATATATATATATATATATATATATATATATATATATATATATATATGTAATATTAATAAACATAATATTAATAATCAATTTCGAAACCATGCTCTAAACCCCTTTTTTGTTGTACTCATCTGAGTGTTGTCGGCTATGCTAGCCAGAGTTTAAATGTATTGATATTATTTATATTCTAGCGCATTTGAGAGAAAATCGATGCTGCATGGTGTTGAGAGTGATCTGAGTCGTTAGGAAACGGGGTCTCGTTCGATACTTCGCCGTCATTAATGTTCTTTCATCTTTTTGCCATGTTCTCACCAGATGGCAGCAGATTTCCGTTCTGGGTATACGCCGGGAACTGTCCATGGTGCTGAAAATACTTCTTTTTCAGGCGCATCTGTACAAGTCAAGTCATACACGTGTATATTCTAATAATCACCAAATGATATTCGAAAAGCATCATCATTATACTGGCATATTATAGGCCTACTGGCACTTTTGCAATGAGCATATAATAGTGAATATATTATTTGTATACGTTTTCAGGTTCATTAGTTGTTCACAGAATTAAATGCTCTGTAAAGTATTTTTTCATCTTTTTTGCCAACCATTTAACTTATTTATATATTTACATATATATTTACATGTAAATATACAAATATACATACATATATATATACATACATACACATACACACATAGGCCTATGTATATATATATATATATATATATATATATAAAAAATCCGATAGATTTCAAGCTGATATTTTTAAGGAAATCCAAAAAAGTGCAATTAGTTTAGCACTGCAAAAATACAATAAACTAATATAAAAGTTTAAAAGGGCTGTAAAAAGAAAATCATAATTGTGCCTTAATTGACAACCAATAAACATTTTAACAAGGACGTTCTTGAATTTGTGTGCTCAACTTTCATAACATCAACTGTTGAATATCTCAAAATATATTAGAATAGCAGCTCATATCCTAAATACAACTTTGTGCTACTTTAAAGCTTGCACAACAGCTCTGCAAAGTGCGCGCTCCAACCTCTCAACCATCTCTGACGCATTCAGCACGACTCGTATAAATGAATTCACTTCGTCACTGGGCGCCAATGATCGCAGCTCGAGCGTGCGGCACTTCCTGAGCCCGGAGCCCGCCATGCGTCTTCAGAGCAGCGAGGTGACCGGCGCGAGGGACCGTTTCTGAGTGACCGCTCTCACCATGGAGAGTTACAACAACACCACAGAAAGCCAAGATTGGAGTGGGAACGAGACGACAGTTAGTGAAGTTGCTCTGTGTTACCAAATAATCGGCTCGCTTTTCCTGGCTGCGTTAATTCTGTTTGCCATATTGGGAAACGCGTGTGTCATCGCTGCCATCGCCTTGGAGAGATCGCTTCAGAATGTGGCCAACTATCTTATCGGCTCGCTGGCCGTCACAGACCTCATGGTGTCGGTTCTGGTACTACCCATGGCAGCCCTGTATCAGGTTTTGAACAAATGGACTTTGGGACAGGAGATGTGCGATATATTCATCTCTCTTGACGTGTTGTGCTGCACCTCTTCCATCCTGCACCTGTGCGCAATCGCTTTGGATAGGTTCTGGGCCATCACCGATCCCATAGACTATGTGAATAAAAGGACCCCCAGAAGAGCGGCTATCTTGATCAGCCTCACTTGGCTAATAGGATTTTCCATTTCCATTCCGCCCATGTTGGGTTGGAGGAAACCAGAGGACCGGGCAGACCCCGACGCGTGCACAATCAGCCAAGACCACGGGTACACCATCTACTCAACTTTTGGAGCTTTCTACATCCCCCTCATCCTCATGCTGGTCCTCTACGGGCGGATATTCAAAGCGGCGAGGTTTCGTATAAGGAAAACGGTGAAGAAACCCGAGAAAGCCAAAATCGCGGACAAATGCCTCGCGGTGTCTCCGGCGCTGTTTCCGAGGAAAGCGAACGGCGAGCTGGGCAAAACTTGGAGGCGAAGCGTGGAGCCGCAACCGTGCGTAAACGGAGCGGTGAAACAAGCGGAGGACGGAGAGTCGTTCGAGATCACAGAAGTTCAAACCGTCTCCAAAAACCACCTGAGCTTGCCCAACAACCCTCAGCCGTGTTTCGAGAACAGAAACGAGAAAAACACGGAAGCGAAGCGCAAAGTGGCTTTAGCCAGAGAGCGCAAAACGGTCAAGACTCTGGGAATCATTATGGGCACGTTCATTTTCTGCTGGCTGCCCTTCTTCATCGTGGCGCTTGTTTTGCCTTTCTGTCAAGATTGTTTTATGCCCGAGTGGCTGAGGGCAGTCATTAACTGGCTCGGATACTCCAACTCACTTTTGAATCCTATCATATATGCGTACTTTAACAAAGACTTCCAGAACGCGTTTAAGAAGATTTTGAAATGCAAATGTATTAGACAGTGAACGAAGCTAAGAGACGGAGGCTAATATGCAGATAATGATTGTTAAAGAGCTGCTCTAAAGGCATTAATGGACAGTCCTTCGGCACAAGAAGAGTTAGAGCTCTGTCTTTGTGTATCTGTTTATCTGTGAAGTTAATCTGCGTCCACCACAACACAATGTGCATATTGTACCACTGGATGGATGGATTCAGATTAGATCAAGAATCTCAGACCAGCTGCGTTTGTGCATTAAACAATAAAGCCCTTAAACAAAAAATGCTTTTGTTTTATACGGCATATGACGAAAGGCACCTTTCTCCGAGCAAGGAGCTGTTGGTGGGATTGTAAGCACACGGACACACCAATTTCCAGCAGATTATTAATGTAGAAAAATGTAATGTGAAATCATTTCTCTTACATCTATTTGTTTACATCTATTTGTTTTTCTTATATGACATAGACTGACTGGACATACCTTGAAATAAAAAAATAAATAAATCTAGATCACAAAAAAAATCACTGTATTTGAATCATTGCAGTTGGGAAGGGTTGACAAAGCTTGCAAGGGAAATATCACATTACCACATTCGATGTACAATTCAAAAAAGTAATTAATTATAATCTTATAAATTTAATTAAATATATTTTATGAATTCATATTCATAAATGAGTTGGTATAATGCAATCTTACAAAAGGAACTTGCTAAAATGATTATTATGCTCTATTTTTTTTCTTCGTTTGGCACATAAAGAAGCCTCTCAAGTCAAAGATGTTTAATTTGGATATGGACATAAAATCTAAATATGTGCACATAGATAATAAAGCTATAAAGCAATGCAAAGCATGTGTTGAATATCAGTGCCAGTATCAGAGATGCAGTGAGTATACTGTACAAAGATGCGTTTGCATCGGGCACAGCTAGGCCTTTGTTCCCAATACTGCAGTCGTGACACTCCATTAATGATGATAAAACTAACCTGTGAACCAGACAGTTCAAGTGATTCAAAATTACAACCCTAAACGGGCTTAAAGAGCCTTATACATTTAAGTGCAAGGCAAATAGCATGACTTCAGCTATCGATGTAAACCTCCTCTCGTAAATCGAATTGGCTCACACCACCCCAAACATACTTTACATGTCTCTCCAGATGTTTCATTTTTTAAAGCTATCACAGATTACAAGCCACTTCCAGTGTCATTTTCAATGTATCTTTCGAGTGGCCACATGCACAGTGATGGGAGAGGCGATGGTGCAGAAATCTTATTCAAATAACATCCTAAGGCTCTGCCCACATAGAACCCTGGCAAAATATAAATGTCATGGAAAATACCAAATGTAATATTTATGATTTGCTTTTCCTCCTACATTTGTAAACGTGCTGTTTTACTGACACACTGCCATGTGACGGACATGGCCGTTCGGATGAGATGACAGCATTGATAACTTGACAAAGGATATTGTGAACAGAACACAAAGCACTCATGGTAATATCCTCTGCTGGATTTAAATTTTGTTGACTAACTCCTTTAGTGCATAAAGGGCCTATAAACTAATTTGACCCATTTACACTTTTTAAATGTACACCACTGCTGATGATAGTGGTCATGACCCCCTGTCAAAGTTATAAATGACTAGCCACCAACTTTGGCTTGCTCTGTAACTATAGGGAAAAGGCACAATATGAATTCCACCCCATTGTGCCCTGGAGTAAATTGAAATGGCCATAAGGGACATTCACAAGGTCATTCTAACCTTGATATAACTATTTGTGAGGCTATGACAAGTGAAAAGAATATCCTCTCATCCTCCGAGGAAAGCCTCAGTCTAGAGACTACAGTATATAGTGGCTTTGAGGTACTCAGCTGACCCTTGTTTCCGAGCATTAAGAAGAAATTAAGCTGCATGTTTGTGACTTCTTTATTTTTTATTTTTAAAGTGATACATTGCCAAAGACCTACAGTATGAATCATCACTTCCTTGCTCTTACTCTGATGGATCTTTCCCCTGCATGTTTAAAGCATATAGGAAACAATTATTACAAATGACTGTACATCTGTGTGATCATTTTTGGATCTCTGGATTGTTGCACATTGCCTTGTTGCCTGTACTTATTAAAAGAACAACTCTTTAATAAAAACAAAACAAAAAAATAATAAATCAGTTCAGGTTAAAGTTGTTCAAAGCTGTTTAAAATGTAAAATATTTTAATGAATTGCTTTGTTTAAAATGTTTACCTCAGTTTTACCTGATATTTATATACAGTATGTACTGCCATATGCCTACATTATAAACTGTAAAATTGTGAAATGTCATTACAATTTTTAAATTACTTTCTTCATTTTAATATATATTTTAAAATGCAATTTATATCAAATCTGAATTTTCATCATCATTACTCCAGTCTTCAGTATCCTTTATAAATCATTCATATGCTGTTCTGGCACTCAATAAACATTTTATTCTTATTATTATCAATGTTGAAAACAGTTGCACTGCTTCTCTTTTTGGCAGCCATGAAACATTTTCCAGGACTCTTTGATGAATTCTTGGTCAAGTTAATGCATCCTTGCTGAATTTATTTATTAATTTCTTCCTAAACTTTTAAACAGTAATGTGATTTATTTGCAATGTATGTAAAATAATATAAAAATGCAAAATAACAGTATACATGTATAAAAATATTATTTTTTTGAAAAAACAGACATGTCTCGTTTAAACAAATGTAATAAATATACATTGATCTCTCCCAATGGTATTTTCAATATGTTTTACCAAATATCATTTTATTTATTTCTGAAGGTGGGTTTGCTGAGTTCACACTAATGTGTTCAGCGAAACATCACAATCACTTGAGTTTCTGTTTCAGGGTCAAAAATTTTAAACAAAAGAGCTGTTGGATCAAAAGTCCCCTGTTGGGTTCATGAAAAAAAAAAATATTTTTTGCATATTCAAAACGAAACGTTGCATGCTACTATAAAAAGTGAACATATTCAGTTGTTGCTTTATGGAGGTATTTCTACCTGATTCTTCCTATAAATTCTAATTTTGTAGTGTAGATTAATTTGATCTAAACAAACTAAATTTTTACAGGTTGGTTGAATTCAGTTGATCAGTAATCTTTCAACAAAACTGTACACTCAAAAAATTATATGTTGCCTTTAACTAATTTTTTTTTCGTCAACAGGTTCCACATAACGGGATTATGTTAAACAAACATAATTTCTTCATGTAACTCCAACATAATGGAATTAAGTCATTTTAAATTACCCAATTTAAGTAGTCTCAACGTGAATTTTTAAAGCCTTCCTGAAATTATTCAAAGGCATTTTATTATATTCAATCATTCATTTATATTTCATTTGATTCAGTGGCATTTAATTAAATTGATAGACTTTTGCAAGCTATTTGCTAGAAGTAACACAAGCAGTAGCACAATCTTGAATGAAAGATTTACATGCTCCTTCATCCAAAACAATAGAAAATAATGAAATCAGTCGACAGGAAAACAAAATGCTCCACTCTTCTCCACAATGGTAACCCACTGTAATTTAAATGGTTTAATAATTCCAATGCAATTTAACATTAAACACTATTACACACTATCAAGTCTTCCCCTTTTCTAAATTTCTCAAAAACAAAACTAAATAACTCTTAATTTTAACATTTATTCTCTCTTAATTCAACCATATGCAAAGCATGCCGTGAACTAAAAGCACTGCCCAGTTTCAGTTAATGCAACACAAATCAATCATGTAATCCAACACAAACGGATTAAGTAACCTTAAGTTGTACGTATATTTAAGCAGACTGAACACAATAAAATTAAGTTCGGGCAAAATGGCAGTTGTCTCGCACTATACTGCTACCCTCTGGATGTAGAACACATTTTTTTACTTACCATAAATGGTTTGTGTTTAGACAACGCATTAGGATTTTGTACTGTTAAATTGAGACATAATAACATAGACCTTAATAGAAAAAAAAAAAACATTTCAAGTCAAAAAACACAATTGTTATAAGTAAACTATATATAAATATATTATGTAAAGTGCACAACCTTCCTAGATGTTACCACATAAACATCGATTTTTGTTAAATATGCACTACAGTCTTTTTTAGCCATTTTAAGACAATAGACATGTTTAAATCAGCAGAAAATGAGTTGTACGCGAGCCAGGGACTGAGTAATGTGGTTTGACAGAATCTGAAAGACGTTTTACATTTGAATGCAAACTGTCTATAGTCAAATGTAAATTTTCCTTATTGCGCTCTCTTTCTCTCTATATCTGAAATGAACCAAGCAAGAAGACAATAAAAAGAGAAAAATTAGCAATACCAAAAAATAGCAATTTTACATCTTTGCATTTCAATAGAGACTAGCCGAGGGGCACAATAATGTCATTGTGTGATTGGTCATGAGTCACCTCACTTCAGCTACAGTCATCATCACACAAATACGTCACTGAAGACTCTGGGCCGAGCGCATTTTTTTTTACTTCAGACTCAGAGTGTAATGAAATTGGTAAACTCTTCATTCTTCAATTAATGTTTGTACAGACACAGCTGACATGTTATTGTAGTTTTAACAAAGTGTGAAAACAAGCAGTTTTTACTAAAACGTAATAGATTGATTTTCTTCAATGGGATCTTTCCAGAGTTGGGCGATGTGGACTGAGCAAAACAATTTCTATCGCTTTACTACCAGCTCCATTAAATGAGTAATTCCATTAGCTTTCTTTCAGACTCACTGACCAAGCCATTTAAGATTCAGCTGAAGGTCCTGCTGCTATTGGCCTGATCTGCTGTACATTCCAGCCAGCTTTCCCTAAGTGCCTGCGGTTTGCCCAGAGAGAGTGCGTCTGAACATTAAAAGACGGGGCACTGAGGAGGCGAAGCTGATGAATAACAACAGCAAGGACCTGGTCGACATACATTTTTTTTTTTTTTCACATTTAATCATAATACTTTGTAATTATATTACATTTTACCAAACTTAAAAACAGCAGTTAGTGATATAGTTAGCCTACACAATGCCTTAAGAAATGTACACTCTAAAAAATGCTGGGTTGTTTTAACCCAACTTTGGGTCAAATATGGACTAACCCAGCCGTTGGGTTAAATTTTTACATTACATTTTTAACCCAACATTTCGGGTTTGTCCATATTTGACCCAAAATTGGGTTAAAACAACCCAGCATTTTTTAGAGTGTATAAAATGTATAAATAGGCCGATTTTAATATATTAAATATTATTATATTATATATTATAATATATTATCTATCTTATTATCTATTATAATATATAAAATAATATTTTTTATATTATTTAAATAATTAAAAATAATTTATTAAAAACATTTTATTCAGAAATAATTGATAAGGTATAAAAGTTGATAATATGTTTAAAAACTAGTTCGTTAAACTTGATATATATACAGTATATATATATATTGAAATTGATGTGTGTGTGTGTGTGTGTGTGTGTAAATGTCAGATTTGATTAATCAGGATTAATCGTTTTGACAGCACCAATAAAACACTTTAAAAATCATTCAGAATTTACATAATGTTCAATGTAAAACAAAAAAAAAAAGTATTTTGAAAAACGTTAATATTTTAAATAATTCACATGCCTTGTGAATGTTAAAAAGACTTTTAGGCTTAGTTTTATATGATTCATATGCTACTCCATTTTATTACAATATTTAAAGTGCAATTCTCAGAGTAATAAAACAGAATATCACAACTTCGTTTCGTATCATGTTGACTTATGGGCCGTTTACACAATAGTTTTCAAGAAAAAACAGAAAACGTTTTGTCAGTTTATTAACACACGATAAAAGCGTTTTGGTGGCCTGAAAATGCTAAACTAAAAAACAAAAACATAAATTTGTGAAAACGGTGACGTCACGCACGTACGTGTTCAGTCTGGCCTGGGGCAGTTTGGGGGTTGGGCGGGGGGGGGGGGGGGGGGGGTATGGCCATTACAATGTGTACTTTCTTCCACCACCACATGCTTCAGCCACCACTGCTTGGGAAGAGGGAAAAGTGTTGGTGTATTGTTAAAACTGCACAAAAGAGGAAAACACAATTTCATTACAATGAAGTACACTGGGGGGGAAATGTGATCAAATAACCCATGGCAACATCATTTTTACATTAACTATGTAGTTTCACAGTCACACATGGAGACTTTCACAAGTCAAAGCAATTCATTACTACTCAACGTTTGACAGCTGATATGACAGCCATTTGGATTATAGGCCTAGTTTAATGTAATGCTAAAACAAATTATTTTACAGTGTACTAGGATCATTTAAAGTTCATTTACCAGCAGTGAAGGTGTTGCTGCTCCTGGCCTCTGGCTGTGAGTCTGAGGAAGAGCTGAACCCAGGGATGCCCTCCACAATGGGCAGGTTCACATTCAACTCTTCTGTCGGGGTATAACTTGGGGGTGCAGGACCACCACCTCTTTGTTTAGCTTTTCTTTTTCTTTTTTTCTCAGCCTTTTTCTTGGTTGCTTTTATAAACAGGCAAATGTTTATTAACAGTGCCTTTTTAAACGAGAATTAGTACAAATTACCGTTATGTAGAATGTATATCTCTCATGGCATTTGCACACTTTGAGGTTTTCCCTGGTGTAATTAAGTTTTCAAATCCAGCATATCTTTCAAGCAATAACTCTTGCTCTGCTGTGGTAAAAAAACATTGGCCACGTTGAGCAGCCAATAGCAGCATTGCTGATCAATGTTTCTACTATCGATACATATCCCCTTTTAAACCAGTGCATGAACGTGCAATTATCTCAAATAATTCAATCCAGCTATAATAATCATTAACTACTGCTAAAGTCATTCATTTCTAGTGTCAGCCCAATCATCATTGTGTTTGTTACTCTCTCTCTCTCAAAACTGGTTTTGTCCCCCTTGCTCTTAAACCTGCTGTCATCCGTCCAATACTCAAGAAATCGACCCTAGACCTGGAGGTCCTGGGAAATGCCAATCAGGCCAATCTCCAATCTCACCTTTCTGTCAAAGGTTCTAGAGAAGGAAGCTGCCTCTCAACTTCATAACCATTTAAAAAACAACAACCTATTTGAGATATTTCAATCAGGCTTTTGTTCGGGCCACAGTACCGAAACAGCTCTGCTCAGGGTGACAAATGACCTTATAGCAGCTGATTCAGGATCGTCATTACTGTACAGTCGACACAGTAGAGTCGACCATACCATCCTCCAGGACCGCCTCCACACCGCAGTTGGACTGTCAGGAACCGTACTGCAAGGGTTTCAGTCCTACCTTTCTGGCAGGACTGAGAGTGTTATATTGGGAGAATGTGAGTGTTAGATGTGGTGTCCCACAGGGGTCGGTTCTCTGCCCAATCTTATTCATTATTTACATGCTTCCACTTGGTTCTGTCATCAGCAGACATCGACTATCCTTCCATTGTTATGCTGACGACATGCAACTTTATATGAAGACTGCCTCAAGCCCCTCCATAGCCATGCCATGACTCACATGTCTTGAGGAGATAAAGGCATGGATGAAAAGCAACTTCCTCCAGCTGAACTCTAGTAAAACTGAGGCATTACTTGTTAGCACCCCTCAT